CAGCTGACGTCCAGGCGCTGCAGCGAGTGCAGGTAGAACTGCCAGATCTGGACAGGCACTGCCAGCCAGGCGTCCCTGCAGCAGGGCAGACACACGGCTCGACGCCAAGCGGGGAGCCCAGAGCAGGAGCCTGAACTCAGGGTGAGCTTCTTCTAAGGAACCCATTTCAGTCCCTCCCCCTCCTAAAGCACTGCCCAACACAAAGGTAGCCCACCGGGCCCAGGAGGCCTCAGCTTGGACACCAGGAAGAGAACATCAAGCCTAATTATTTAGGGGGAAAAGAGAACGATGTAAACCATAAGCTGGAGACATGTTGGGAAGCTTCTTGCCCAGCTTTGTGCTGCTCAGCAAAGCCACAAGCAAGGCAAGGGTGGCATGAGCTCCTCTCCTGCCCAGCCACATGCTCAGGGTTAGAGTTTCTCACTTTTTTGGGGCTTTGCTACTTACATATAAATAGCAACAAAGAACTTCTTGATCTGTGGGCTTGGCCCTCCAGCTACTTTTAAGAAGATATCCTGCGGCTCACCAGGCCCCTGTGTGCAGAAATCAGAGCATCATTCCAACAGTTAACCTCAAGACCAACCCAGCTAATGAGGACTCCAGGGTCTCCTCCCCATTAACAGAAAAAACAGCCACAAACCCACTTATGAAAGCAGATGCTTTCAGCATCTAGTTAAACTATGTTATTAACTCATTATACAGCTTGGCTGAGCTCTTCCAGTATTTTTAATTACAAAAGAGGACACAAACAACTATCACATTCCAGGTCTGCATCTGTAATCAAATTTTGGCAAATTCTCCCCAAGTTTTCTAACAAGCCATAATCCAATTACCATACTAACGTGTTTCTGCAATGGCAATTAGCAACTACCCTTCGTTGCCATCTGCACACACATGCCCAAGTTCATTTTTCCTTTTCTACCTCTCCTCCAGCTGCAAGGCAAGCCCAGGAAACTCATGCTGGGCACGGCCAAGCAAGGGCCATGTGTGGGCTCCAGTGGGTGCTCTGAGCAGAAGAGATGGTCTATCCCACACCTGACAAAAAGCTGCTTTTCCCCAGCATCTCTGTCATCTGGTATTTGCTCAAAAGAACAGGCGAGTACAAGCTGCTGCACGATGCGATAAGGTGCAACATTCAGCTTCAACCACAAAAACAAAGCAGCTCCTTTTAATTGGGAATAATTCTGGCTTCATCACTGCCAGCGTTTCACTACCACGGGCTGATAAATGGGGATGCTCTGCAGGCACAAGGCTTTCCTCTGCCAGCCAGAACAACCCCCAGCACAAGGACACAAAGGAGAGATAGATGTCCAAGTGAGACTGGTACCATGTTTTTGGTCTCACAAATGATGTTGGGGTCGCTGCAGCGAACAAACATCTCGGGCTCCCCGCCTGGCATCCCCACTGGCGCGCCTGCGGAGAAGAGACCGAGGGGAAACTGGTTTCAGTGTTTTTTCTGTTACCTTGCACCCCATGGAGCCACAGACCAGAGTCACTCATGCTGGGCTACCCCCAAACCACACAGATGCACTGGTGTGAGGAATTCAGTATAAAATTAACGCAGGGGGGCAGATGGAGAGTGAGCAGGGAGCCCAGGCTGTGGAAGGGCAAGGAAGCCACAATGTGCTCCTTGATGCTGCCAGACCTCCAAGAAGGCCCCTATGAACCACAGACACCAACTGACAGGAAAGAAAAAACAAGTCCCAGCCAGGCACAACATGGGCTCACCAGGGAGGGTGTACCAGGGGGGCAGCCGAATGGTCTTCTTCAGGAAGGTGAGCTCAGGGTGGTAGAAGCGGAAGGTCTGGTCCACCACGTGGGGCTGCGGCTCCACCTTCACGCACAGCAGCGCGATGGGCTTCCCCCGGCTCACCTGGAAGGAGACCTGTCCCAGAGGCAGTGGGAGGGATGGAGTTTTGAAGGACTGGTGCTTCTCCTTCCACACCATCCCTTGAGTGGTGTTTCTGCCCAGCTCCCTCACCTGGATGTGCTTCGTGTGCCCAGCTCTGCTCTTCCCCAGGGCGCGGGCGGCTGCCTCGGCATCGGTGCCCAGCCCAGCTGGCCCCTGCGGGGTGTGAGAGCGGGTTGCCTCGGGGTGCAGCACCGCCCTGGCTGCACCATGGTGGTACCACCTGGCCCTGCACAGGCAAACCCAGCCGAGGGAAATGCTCCCCACTGGGAGCTGCTCAAACAGGGGCCTGCACCTACCTGTGCCATGACAACCGCAGGGTCTGCAGAGAAGGTCTGGTATTTGAAGGGGATGCAGACAGTCTCATTGGGGCGCAGGTAGACCTGAGGTCTGAGGTCATCATGGAGGTGGAACATCTCCTCCTCCACCGGCGTAACGCTCTTCGTCAGCTCCTTGAAGTGCCG